AACTAAATGATAAAAATAAAATGTTAATTGAATTTTAAAGAGGGGTTTTTTCGCTCTCTTTTTTAATAGGGAGTTATATTGTTACAGAACACTGTTATGCTAATGACTAACTATTTAGCTGATTTTACATTAATATAATAAACATTACCTGTCTTAATGTGTTATATGGTATTGTGGCAAAATAGTTGTCTAAAAATGAAATTCCATTTTTCATAATGATACAGAATGATCGTTTCTGCATGAATAGTTCTAGCAGTTTAGCTTTTTTGTTGTTGTTGTTGTTTTAAAGACTGAAATATGTCAGAAATATTTTACGCTCCCAGGATGACTATGGGTACTGTGTTCAGTACTTATTATTTTATAAGCATCAGATACAGACTGCGGCATTATGCTTTTCTGTTTGCCAATACATCAGTGGTCTGTCTTCTCTTGTGGTGTCACCAAAGTTATTTTTTTATGTTGCTTCACTTGAAGGTTTCTGTATTTTGTATTTTTCACATTTTAGTCTTATGATAGGCACTCAAGTTAATGGTTATTTATTTACACAGCTCTATTTTCCATGTAGTCCACTTTTTTAATTACTGCTCTACCCTTCATTCTTTCTTTTTGTGCGTTCAGTTATATTTTTGCTCCATTTAACTTTTGGCAACCAAGCCTTCATCCAAAGAAACAGTCTTCAAATCCAGATACTTGGCATAGTAACTTGATTTGTGCCAAATTTTAACACACTGTCACAAGGGATAAGGGTTTTGCTGACAAAGATTTTAGTTTTGTGGGTTTTTTAACTAAAGAAATCATCCACCTCTTAAATGTATTGTGATAGTTAACAATAGTACAACCAGCTCCAGTGATGAGATATGTGCAAATTGCATTCTGTGCTGGTTTATTCTGTATACAAGTTTTAACTAGCTGAAAATATTTGGTTAGTATTTAATTATGTTAATATAAGTGAAAAGGGAAAAATGGATTATAATCTTTTTCTTCCTCTTAACTCTATCCTATTTAGATAGAACAGTGCCAAATGCGTCATTGGTGTAACTCCATTGTTACATTGAGGATGAACTTGGCCCAAGTTCTTTAAGTTTTTCTTTTCTTTTTCTTGGTAAGCATCCTATAACATGGTATATGGCAGGGCTGAGGAGATGGCCCAGAGTAGAAAGGATTGTTGTGGAATCCCGAGAAATAGCAAACAGAGTCTTGAGAGAAATATAAAGAGTCTGAAAGCAATTGTTAGTATTAAAGACATTTTTTGCCGTTGATGATATTAGGATGTCAGCAGGTCTATACTAGTAGAGTTCCAAAAGCCAAAATGCAGCTGTATTTTTACCTCCACTGCCAGATTTACATGCAGCTGGGTGTCTCCCACACCCTATTGTTATCAGTCAACAATTCAGCATACAGTCTATTAAATATACCAACAACAACAACAATACTGTGTCCTTCTGAAAATAAAAATAAACAACTAATTAAGGGTGATTTCTATTGTTCTTGGTAAGTTAGCATTCTCTATATGTATCTGCCAGTAGTTAATTTGAACTTCAACTCCCTGAAGGCAGAAAGTCAGAATTATTTTAGTTCTTCATAAACTGCCTTCTGTGATTCATTGTTAACTCATAAAACACATTCATTTTCATGTGCTTAAACAGGTAAGCCATTTTCAGTGTAGGTTTATAATTATAATTGTTTTTGGTTTTGGCAACACATTTAAATTGACAATTGAGAGAGAGAAATCTAAAACTAACAGCCCCCAGTTCAGGTGTGACTTACTATCACACAACATATCAGAAATAAATATTTTTCTCTGAAGTAATGTAAAGTATATTGTACAGTATCTTAAAATAAAGTTTAATTTTGACTGAATACACTCAAAAAGGGATCTATAAATATTAGAGAGCTGTAGTTAAGAACTTACATGACTGTTTTAAATACTATTGATTTAAACCACTGGCTAGATTTTATGAATCAAAGTGTAATTTCCAAGCTTTGGCTATATTTCTCAACTCTAAAGCACTCTCTCTTGTGTGCCTTTAGCAGCTTTCCAGACATTCAACACGGGATTAAATGATAGTAGTTACAATGATCAATAGGTTAAGACCGGTACAATCACTCTTACCGCTAATGACCTCAGTAGTAATGGGTAATAAAGTGTGGGCTATAATAGGCTATTGCTGGTGCTGCATGCCCTTTGATTCCTAGTACTACTAGGGACTAGCTACAAGAAAAAGTTGGACGTTGGGAGTTAAGGGAGTGGATATATAGGCCATAATTCTTAACTATTTAAAGTCCTTAAACTGTGCTTCTTTTTTTTTTTTTTTTTATTCTTTGACACAATAGTTTCTGGTCCATTTGAATATGTTTGTTAAAGGTTTCCATAAGTTATTTTCATGATATGCTGGAGCAGAAACTTTGAGTAAATCTAACTTTTATTACGTTTATAAATTAAAGGCAGAGCCCTCTTTAGCAGTACAGAGCTAGCTGGTGTGACAGTGTGGTTTCAGATGATAAAAGTAAGTTGAGCTCATCAGCATGCTCCCGCTGTCTGAAAGATGCCATATATGTGTTTTCTGCTACCCGTAAAACATTTCTGTTTTAGCAAAGTATTAATAGTTTCTGTTTAGAAATTCTTTATTGGAAGGTACACAAACACTTCTCAAATATAGGGGCAAATCTTGCCCTTAGACCCACGTGCACAACTCCCATGGAAGTCAGTGGGAGTTGTCCATCCATAACCAAGGGCAGAATAATGTGGCCCTTAGTATTAATCTCTGATTTGTAGGGTTTTACAGTACCCCACCCTGTTCCTGTCTGTATCCCTGGTTGTTGTCAGAAATCTGATTGAAGAGTATTTGTATTGTATATCTTCCAAGAATAGCACAGAAAACATACTTAAACATGCTTCCTTCTCTGTTTGCTCAGTCATACTTCAATAAAAGATAGTGTAAACCTCAAGGAAAAGTAAACTTCTTTTGGATGGAATAACAAAGACAAGTAAAGCTTAAAGGCTAGTATGGTGACTACCAAATATAAGTTAAAAAAATTCTACTTTGAAAAAGTTATTTTAAAAATCACATGGATTAGGATATTCAGAATTAATGAGTTTACTGACAAATGATTGAGGCTTCTCAGGGTCGGTCTCAATTGCTATAGCACTTCAGTAGTGCAATTGCTGTCCAGTATGTTCAATATAGAAATCCACATACAGCTAAATCCTGGTCCCAACCAAGTGACTGGGAGTTTCACCATGGACTTCAATGGAACCAGGAATTGTTCTGTAATTAAATCTTTATTTTCATAGTTATCAGATGCGACTGTCTGTTGGATATTACGGTGGGTTATCCAGATGTACACCATAGTGCACATTCAGAAGCGCTCTGTGATACTGAGAACTTTCTGGGTGACATTCCAGTGCCATATAAATGAGATGTCAAAAGTGCGTAACCATTTTCAAACAAATGTCTTAAAAGCAGTTCCTGGGAATTGCACATAACATGTACACAACAGCACTGGAGGATGTGCACTGTACGTGAATCTGACCTTCAGGAACCATTTTTAGTTCATCAAAATTAGTGATGCCGAGAAATCAGGACATCAGTGCATAATGACTGTGAAATTAGGAATGAGAGCTTGCTATGCAAATGACAGGACAAATCATGTGAAAAAGTCAAGATAAACTGCATATTAAGACATTATGTTACATAAAATTAATACTGCATTTCTCTCTTGCTTACTACTACTCTGAAAGATTTTTTTAAAAATTCTTTTATCTTCTGATCAGCTATTGTCTGCTGATTTTTAAAAAGTGGTGCGCAGAGAAAGTGCAAAACATGTTATTACCTTTTATTGTAATACATGAGATGACAAGAGATCCTTTTTAACAAAGTATATCCTTTACTGCTTTTAGTTCTGTGCTGTCACATATTTGATTTGAAACTAAAGAAAAGTAAGGTGCTTAAATATTACTGTTAAAAGTCATATGGGTTTTGTCTTTTTGCTCTATTGTTGTTTTTTCTTTCTATTTTTTCCCTTTTTTATTATTTCTAGTGAAATAGTCTTCTTGCATTACTGGGACTGACAAAATGGTTCTCATGTAGTCTGCAAATTAAATACAAGTGCAGTGATTATTTTGAATAGCTAAATTACATTCTAGAAAGCTTGCAGAATTCATAGCATTGTCATTAGGTATCCGCTTGAATACAATTTGTGTAACCTTGGCCAAGACAGCCTGTCATTTTAATGTCAGTGTTTTATCTGAACAAGACATCATCCTTTCAGATACAGTGTACAGGTTCCTTGCAGAGATGCCCGTGCAGAAACGTGTTAACAGTTGCAAATATGAAATGCTATCAAGTTCATCACTGTAGCTGTTTGTCACTGAAATGTCATGGAAAGCGGCTTTTAATGGTATCTCACGTAATATGAAAGAATTGAAGACATCTGTATGCTGGGTGAATATGGAATGGTAAAGACATCGTAGTAGGGTCTTTCTGTTAAAATTGCATAGGAACATAGGTGCTGTTAGTCGCATCTCTGAGCTTTCATTCATTTTCTTAATATCATTGTCTTACGAGGGTCTAGATCCCATCAATGTGGGACACCACATTGTTTTTTCTTTTTTGTGTGCGTCTGTTTTGTTGAGTTGACTGTTTCTTCTACAAATATATCTCTCTTGACAGCTTATTCATATATCGCAATAATTTTCATTGCAATAATGTTTTGGAGAAAGAGGCTGTAGTTGGGAGAAAATAAAATCAGTGCTTTCGTGTTTACTCCAGTGGGCTCTAGAAGCTCCTGCGCTTTTCGTACTTTGACACTCCAGAGGATGAGAAGTAAGCAATACAGCAGAAAACAGGATGGTGTCTGAACCAGTTCCGTAGACCTAGCAATGGACAAATATTATCAGGATAAAAAATAAATGCTCAACGTTAAAAAGTAAAATAAACTGTAGTAGAACTCGTTACAAAGTGTTCTGACTTCTTATGCCCACTGTGTTAATGTTCTAGGTTCCAGTGTCAGTGGCTATGATGACACCTCAAGTTATCACTCCCCAACAAATGCAGCAGATCCTCCAGCAACAAGTGCTAACTCCCCAGCAACTCCAGGTCCTGCTCCAGCAGCAGCAGGCACTCATGCTTCAACAGGTAATTGTTTCTTTTACAGCTGGTAAGATGGCTATTATAGGGGTGCTAATGTCCTTAAATATTCCTGTAGTGAAAGCTGCCTACATACTGGAGTACATATCTTATATCTGGGGTGAGCTGATTGCTCTGTTGTACTTAAAGCTAGCGATGGCTATTGAAAACGTAAGTGCAGGGACTAAAGCTAGCAGCCTTTCCCAGATAGCTACATAAAGATACATGTTTAAGAAACAAGAATCCTACAGATGCCGCCATTGCTCACACCTGCATTCTCCTTGGCACATCACTTCCTTCTGACTAGTTGGAATAAACAAAGAATATAGTAGGGAGGTGTTTTCAGTTCTAAAACGTATTAAACCCATATGGAACAATAGGGAGTCTCAAAACCGCGTCAACAGAAACGTGGCATATTTGCAAGCTTTAACCCTTGAATTTCAACAAACAAATGTATTGTGGAGTATCCGTTTTCCTGGGTACCCAATTCAACATGTGAGCCTGTGTCAGCTAAAAGTTTGCAACAAATGAAGTATGGTTTTAAAGTTTACTTATCTTAATGTGCTGCACAACATTAATTCCATGATGACTTTAAAGGCCACTACAAGCTAACCTTGTGTACTCTTTCCTCACTGTCACTCTCTCACTCATTCATTCACTGAGTGGATGTCTAAACTGCGTACATCTACTATCCATCTGGGAAGTGGGGAGGAGGAGGGGTATTATCTGTGATGTCTATGTATGTATTGAACAAAACTTAATACAGTCAAACCCTATCATTTAGAAAGCATGTATATGTTTCACAACAGAGATTTACCAGCCTCTCTCAGCAAGGGCATTTTGGCTTTGTTGTTACAATCAAAGGTCATTCCTTGCCTTATTTTAATTAGTTTGTGTAGAAAATGGTATGTTTTTCATCAGTTCATTTTGGAGATTACTTTTCAAACGATAATGCCAAGAATAGTCAGTGTGCACTGAATTTATTGTCGAGTTTCAAACTAAAGGTCAGACCATTACAGATAAAAGGATGCTGTTTTTCAAATCAGTTTGTGTGTTACACCAAAAGGGACACTGAATTGTCCCTCCTCTTTGTTACTTACCGTGTTTCCTCTTCTTTATAGCAGCAGCTTCAAGAGTTTTATAAGAAACAACAGGAACAGTTGCAGCTTCAACTTTTACAGCAACAACATGCTGGAAAACAGCCTAAAGAGGTACAGACAATACCCATTTTACTTTCAAACCACAGATCCCAGGGGACTGCCTAGTGGCTATTAAACTGTCATTCATTTTATAAATGATTACACAACTGAGCTGACTCTATCAGGTCTCAGCTTTCAGCTTTGGAGTTATTGTCCTGTTTTCTCTTTTATTTTCTTGTGCTTTCCATTTGCTTGCTGCCACATATTTTATAGCACATCACCACACCTTGCTGTTTGGTGTGAGTATTGGAACAAGTATCTTGACTAGTGTCTTTGGAGAGAGTTTTTTGGAAGAGAGTTATTGTACACTGGGTGAAAATAAGGATGCAGTAGTCAAGATGCTGTGCTCTCAAAGCAAGGAAATAGTTTAAGAGGTTTTGAGTGCAGGTTCCCTGTATCAAGGCAGAGGCTCAGATTACACATTTGTCATAGTTGTAACTTAGAACAAGAACTGCATTTAAGGAACATTTGTTGTGACACGGACCAACAAAATCTGAGATGCAAAGATAAGACTGAAGGGCCATCTCAACTCCTCACATTGTGCCTAGCTATTACAGCACACGTGATCTGTATAATAGCAGGAGACATCGATCTGTTGTCACTGCAATACATAGACAGAATGGGACAAGTTAGGGCCAAAAGTCTATCTGAACTTTGAATACACTTGCTTTTCTAAACTTCTATCACAATCAGAACTTTGCATCGTTTATAGCGATATTATTATTGTTTAAAATTTAAGAAACCAAAATTCCTCCTTGAAGTGACATGAGAAACTATGTAAATCCATGTTCAGGGACCTGAACGTTAGTAGTCAGTGGCATTAATGCCTGGATGGACACCTCTTAGTAAGTTGCTTCTTGGCACAATATGCTGTGTAATGCCTTTCCTAGCGGTGAGGCGTTCCTGTCAGTGTGGCAGGCATGCTGCGCAAAGTACACATCATAAAAATGGCCTGACCAATTTTTTTTCTTTTCTTTTCAAATTTGGCAAGTTGTACCATCCATGCCACATTTCAACCCAGTCTGAATTTTTACAGTTGAGCTCTAAACCACTGAAAACAGGGGGTTTATAGTGGAAACGCTGACACAACCTTAACTACAATGTGCGAACGGGCGCCACTCTAATAAAAAAGGAACAGATTAAAAAGTGTCTAAAATGTAAATCTAAAGGACTAACAGTAATTAAAATGGAAATGGCACAGGGAGGGAAGGCATGTAATTGTGAGATATCACTGTGCAGAATGCTCTCAGCTTTGTTTTGCTGGCTGTTTTTCTAATTCAGTAGGGCTTACTCATCAGTGGCAGTTCAATGTGCGTTAATGACTCTGGGATGCAGGCATCACTCTGGACAAAGAAATGATTATTGTGCGGTCAAAAGAAGTTCAAAGACAAGAAGGGAATTTCAGTTTTTTCCTTAGAGATCCACATTCAAGAGCATATAAATTAAGCCAAATGTTAAAAACCACAGTCTGAAAGCTGACTTCAAAGTCACAACTCTCTAATTAATGAACTGCAAGCTTCAGTTTGGACAAGTCGTGGTTTGATGCGCCCATAAATCAACATGACAGGTCTGTTTCACAGTCTCAGACAGTGCTTGTCATTGAGTCACATCAGATGTAAACACAGCAGAAAAAAGAGGGAATATGAAGGAGGTGCAATTGATCAACAGAATTGGTAAAAACCCACTTTTGAAGCGCATTATGCATGATCACAGGAAATGGCTATAGCCTCAAGAGGCTTTCTCCTTCTGCTGTTGCTTTTTTGAATCAGATTTCTAACAGCCTTCAAAAGGGAGAATAAGAATTATGGAGCTTCTCCCCTGTGGCTGGCAGGCAATAACCCCCTGTTGTTATTTTGTGCTTCTTTCTTTTCAAAGGCGTCAAAATTTAGTTTTTTAAAGATCTTTAACTCTATATTTGAAGACAAACAATAAAGGGCTGCCACTGTCATTCTTATCAGTTACCAGGGATTGTATTTTTTCTTTCTGTTGCCACTTCTTATTAACCTCTTATTTGGTCTATTAGACATAGTTTTGAATGCAAGCCTGCATGCTGGGAGAACATGAAAGTTCAGATGAGCTCAGAGGGCAGATAAAGAAATTTGAAGGGGAAAGTTACACAGCAGAATGAACGATAAAAGTTAACTCTTCTAAATTGCTGTTGTCAGACAGGAGAGCATCTCCGACACAAAGATGATGGCTTGAAGTTGAAAGAAAAAAAATACTTTGTGTTAAAAGGCAAGAAGGGAAGTTAGACAATGTGATGGCATTTTAATATCTAACACACTGATTTACTGTGGTCACACTTCTGATATTGCACTATCCAGAGTTACAATAAGAAAAGACTCCTTCCTGTTTTAAGAAGAATATTATAATATAATAGACATAGGAGAATAAGGTCCAAGACTCTTTTCCTTTTACTACTTTTTTCCCCCTGATGATGTTAGTTAGAGGCCTGTTTCAACAATGCATTTCATCCCACAGGTTTTTCAGACCCATTTTCCTGAGCTAAAGAGGGTGTTCTGACTAAATTAGCATGCAGTTGGTGGTCCTTTTTTGTGCTAAAAATGACAATAGAGTCACATGCTAGCAATTTTGTGATGTGGACTGGTGGTTATGATTTTAACATGGTTTGAAATTGGACATTGACAGATGGAACAAGCCTATTAATTTACTGTATCCCCCAGTCATTAGTGGCTCATAATATTGTATCATCAGTTTACCAAAAAAAAAAAAATCCACCACCAAAACCCTGTTAGTCAGAGAGATTTGACCTATAACCAGGACAATACGCAGGACTTCTGCGACCTTTCCTTTTACGTTATATTAAGGGGAATTTACAGCTTGATGCAGAGCAAGTTCCCATTAGTGATTGCAAGAGCTCTTTCTATAACTCACTGCAATCTTTTAAAAAAAAAACCAAACACTAGCTCATCTAGTCTACAAAACTCATTCCCTGATACCTGACAGAACTGACTTTGAGAAGCAGCGGGCAGAATTAATTTTTAAATAAAGGTAGCAGAAGAATCCCATTTTGTGTGTTCAAGTTGGGCTAAGAGAATTGTTTTAAAAAGGCCGTTTGTCCTCCAGCAGTTTTGACAGTTTATGTTAGGCGGTAGGGAGTAACCTAAGAAAGGAAAACAGACCTTTGACAGAAGCTTATGGGAGGGGATCAAAAATGCAAGTTTTATCAGGATATTTCAGCATTTTAACACTGACTACTGACCTGACAACAGGACTGCACTGAGACCTTTTTTGTATGCATTCAATTGTGAGAAGTAAACAAACTGACTTGTATCCTGTGTTTGGTAACTGGGTGGGGAGCACAGTTTGGCAACGTGTGTTGCTTTTAAATTCTTTCTTGGACAATGGGCCTTGTATACTTTTATATCCTGGCTTTTCAAATGAGAGAGCTTTCATGAGCTTTTCTTACGGATAGCTGAGAAGAGAACCAAACAGGCATCAGTCAATTTATATAAATAAAGTGTTGTAAAATCTTAATTTACATTAGATGGCAAGTAACCAACATGTCCAAACCCGGGAATATTTTAACTCTGTTTTTTTAATAGGATCGCGTTCATAATTTTTTATTATGAGAATATCTGAAGAGCCAAAAATTATTCAAACATGAACATCACCATCATTGTGGTTTCCATTAATCTGATAACTTGCGAAATAGGAAAAACAATTGGATCATTTTGAGCATGCTGTTTTACAAATGAAAATGCTGGCTCTTAATTTTAATTTATTTAAATTTTTGTTGTCGGTACTGTAGATTTTGTTTTTCAGAAAAGCACTCAATTAACTTTCTCAGTGGTATGGGGGTAGGTCTGAAATTGGTTGCTAATATGAGATTGGTTGGGTTGTTGCTATAAAATAAACCATTTGGGGATTAGAACAAAAATAGCTTCCATTACTCTCAACTTTCTCCAGTAGTCTTTTTTAAAAATCAAGCTTATGTCAAGTTGAGCATGACGGGGTCTATTCTCTCATCACTGCACTGATGCCTCTCCCGTGATCCGAATGGGGCATTCCATATGTGAATGGGGTGAATTGATTCCTTAATTTTTTTTCAGGGACTTTTTAAAATGTGGGCCAGCTCCTCATTGGTGTAAACCAGTGTCACTCCAGTAACTTCAATGGATTTCACTGTTGCACACCAGCTGAGGATCTGACTCAGGGATTGTAAGGCGTTAAAATGAAAAAAAGGTGGTGATTGGACACTTTGTAAGAGTGCCCGTGCCTGCAGTTTTGTAAGAGTTAATTTTCTTTCCGTAATTGTTAGCTCTAATGTGGATAAGACCTCCACCTTGATATGATTCCTAGCAGATTAGGGATATTAGATAATTTCCTTCTATTTATTGTACTGCTGCGCTGTATTATCTTTCTATCACTCAGATAATTACAAAGGAAATCTACATAAATTGTTTTTGGCTAGCACAAGGAACTGCTAAACACTGGCATGATGTATTGATGTTTTACACAACAAAAGTTTTCCTCCTGTCATTGTACAATAAATAAAAAGATATGTATCAAAATGCAAAGCCTTTCATGGTTTTTTAAGAACAAAGCAAATAAAATACAAGATGAGCATGGAAGCAAAACCTAGAGGGTTCCTTAAACTGAAGCAAAATTAAGAACTCTGAAGCCTGGAGTACAGTACATATTAAACACTCCCATTCAAGTAAGATGTTGTTTGCTAAATTATGAATGTATGTAATTAAAATCTAGTGGCTGTTTCTGTGAAAGATTTACAATGTTATTTCATCGTTTGTCATGGCTAATTAACAATATTAGATGAAGTTTTTCTTCTTCAAAGGTCTGATTTTTTCTCATTTATTTATGTCAGAAGTGATAAACAGAGTAGTTAAAAGCTTCTCCGGGCTCAATAGTGAGAAAAGCAACATGTTCTTTTACACCTCAAAGGTTCAAGGTTCAAATCCCAGTGGAGTACAGCAACTCTGTCTTCTTTCTAGTGAGAATAATTAAAAATTTCAAAGTGCAGAAAGTAAAAGTCTTAAATATAGCATGGAACAATTCAATATTCAGGAGAAAGTACTGTAACTTGATTAATGAATGAGAGAGAGCAAGTATAGAAAATGCAATAAATTAACCCAATCAGTTGCCTTAATAGTTGAGACAATCCCTGCATGCGTAAATGGAGCATGGCACAGGATTATTTTTCATTCCTCTTAAGTATGATATGACCTTGCAATGCGATTTTTCCATTTATATTCACGCTGTTCATCCTGAAGTATTACCAATTGTTTCAGACTACACACGGATTGCTTTATTCACCACCAAAATGCGACCACTTCTGGGTTGAAACTTCTGTAGCGCAATATAACACAACAACTTAGACCAAGAAATGCAGAATAAATATTTCATGTGACGTGCAGGGGGAGTTTAGGTAGGAAGAATGTAATTGCCCAACGTGGAATTTGGCCACAATCCTGTGGTTAACACTGCTACTGAAATAATGACTTGGGATCTTTAATGAGAAGTGGTCAGAGCCTCCATTCAGCGTCCTTTCTTGGTGGTTGGTGACGACTATAATCAGATGAAGTGTTTTGAAACTGGGAGCCATTTAAATATCGTGTATAAATACTTAGTTCTGAAATGACAAATGTGCCTTTTTCCCCTTTCAGCCACAGCAACAGCAAGTGGCTACACAGCAGTTGGCCTTTCAGCAGCAGCTCTTACAGATGCAACAACTGCAGCAGCAGCATCTCCTGTCTTTGCAGCGTCAAGGTCTGCTAACAATCCAGCCTGGCCAGGCTACGCTGCCTTTGCAGCCTCTTGCTCAAGGTACGTGTGCAGTCTGGAAACCACCAACCGTAAACCTCCATCTCGGGGCTTTAGAGAAGATAACAAATACATCTAAAATGGAATAAAAGCTCCCATAGGCTGGTAAAGTAACGAATAAGAAATGAACTGACAGGCAGGTTGCTCATTAGAAGGTTTTGTGGCTATTCTGGGAAGCACAACACTGAAGTGTTGGATTGCTCTCACTAGAAATGGGCAAACAGTATGGAGTCTGGGTGGAGTTTGCATAAGTGTCCGGAAGGCTGGATATGAAGCTCTGGGTCTACAAATCTAGATATGTTCAGAATAGGCTTGCTAGCAAGATTGCTGGCACTTTGGTCGTGGCTAGGAATAGCAGGAGAATAGCCTTTCGTATGTTATTTCGGCACTGTGGGTCCTTCCTGACGGGAAATCAGACGTGGGAAACTCAGACCCAAACATTGCCGATCGCTGGGAGTTTGATTCCCTTTTACATCTAGATACGGGCAAAGGTGGGACTGTTTGGTTTTTTTCCATACCTGTTTTACTCATCCTTGATTCTGCTGCAAGTACACACACAGTGGACCATATCCTCAGCTGGTATAAATTGGCATAGCTCCATTCGCCTCTCATACTGAAGCAAATTGGGATTAACTCCACTGAAGTTAGTAGCGTTATGCTGTCATAAATTGAGAATCAGACCCCATGTATCTTTCCACAGTCATACTCTGCAGTAAATAAGTACTTCTCTGAAGTACTTAGGTTATTAAAGATTTCTTTAAATGTGTCAGTAGGTCCTTTTTATTTAGCAAGACTTTTGAGAATGGTTAAAAATCTATAGTTTATTCTTCCTCTACTTCATTTTCACTGGGTTTATCTGTGTTACAAGCCTTAAGACCCTGAGGCCAGCCTCAGCCCAGGCTGTTCTTATTAAGAAGGCAGATTGTTCAAAGTTGGCATGGCTTGAGGAGGAGCAGGTCTTTAAAATATAATGCTGGTATTTCTGAAGTCTTCTCTCCCCTTCTCCCATTCCCTCCCCCCCAAAAATATGTACTAAATATAAAGAGTCACCTTAGCCTCTCAAGTCAGCTCAGGTTGAATGATTTGGTTTCTTCAAAGCTGTTAACCGCCTCAGGTCTCCTACCAATTGCTAAACCCTGTCGTGTATTTATATTTAGATACACTCACTTAAACAGAGGGAAGAAGTTCTACTCCCCTGTCTCCCCGTTCCCCCAAAAATATACATATTGCTGCCAGAGGGAGGGTGATATAGCCAGCAAGTTCTAACCCCGGTGGATGTAGGGAAATACCTGTGAGTGGTGGAATCCTCATGGGCCAGATTGGGTCACAGGTTTACTTCCAACCCTTTCCTAACTTCGGTTTGAAGAAATTCAATTCTGCATGTGCCATTTATGCCTCGGCTGCCTAAATAATGGAGGTCTGACATTGGACTTGCCATGCACGTGAATCTCCTGTTGATTTCAGTGGAGGCTGTGTCTGTGAGGGCTGCAGGATTGGGCCTTTGATATTTACTCCTCCTCTAGCGCATCTTTGTCAATGGGGTGGGGGGAATAGTATGGAACTAATCCAGAAAAGAGGCACGTAGGCTATGCCATTTATACTTGCAAAATGTTACAACGTGCATTAATTACACCTTCAGATTTATTGTTGGAAACATCGCAAGCTGTTCCTAAACACCCACTGGACTCAAGCTTCAACCTTTCTAATTTTTCCCACAGCTCCTATACTATTAAGTTTGCTCAGTAAGGTTCATTGTATAGTACATCAGTTAAGCTGTCCAAAAGAGGGCAATTGGGCAGTGACAAGACACGCTCATGTGTAATGTGAAAGAAATGAATGTGGTGATGCATGAAGTGTAATCTGTGCAGTAACACATCAGAGACACCAGTAGGTAATTCAGCAGTCATGGCATTGATTGATATGGTTAGCAGTGTAGTATAACTATTAGTCCCTACAACATTAGGAAAGGAGCATATTTAAAACCTAAGGGGTACCTAGCTGCATGCCAGAGTTCACAAAAATATAAACAAAGGTGCTTCAGAGGTCTGATTCTAGTGGGGAAAATGAACTATAGTGTTGATATCATTCCTTGTGAAACTGGGACTTAGTTTAAAAAAAAAAAGTAACTTGAGAATTCAGGCAGGTTGGAATACAACACATCTTTTTTTTTTATCACAGAGAGAGATGATGGCTTAAAACTGATGTCATTATGAGGTTTAAATCAACTTTCTGCTTGCTTGAACATGGTCACCTGGGTATGGAGGTACAAGGACAAAAAGAGGTTGAGCAACTCGGTTTGTCTTTGAGCCAGTGATACCTGGGGTTGTGAAATTGAGTTCCATGAACAGTAATCTGTCAGCTGTCCCCACAACATACATTTTTTAAACCCGTGCCTGCATTTTCTTTCATAATGAAAGGGACAAGTTGTCCTGAAAAATGCAATGATAAGCCAGAGTTATGGTTTAAAATAATTTGTAATAAACGCTTTAATTTAAAAAAGAATCCCTAGTGTACCCTTTTCTTTTGAGAATTTTTTGCCAGACTGGAACAAATACTGTAAAACGCACAAAAACCTCAAGTAAATGTAGACATGTATTCATGACAAATTAAAGCATTTGCTACCTAGTCATATTCTAGATGGCATATAGTAGTTGTAATATTAATAAATGTTTCCAAGGAGTGAACCACAGTTTATATGTAATTTTTGTTTTGGTTTTCAGAATTCGTTCATTGTTTAAACTACATTTTTGTTTCAGCACTTGCCTATTGTATTATACAAAATAGCACATCCTCTAATGTTATATTTTTGTAATCTCTGCAGTGTCGTGCAGATCTTGGACACATCTATAATCTGGATTTTACATCTGTACACAGCCGCAATTTTAAAATAAACCCAATTTCAGCAGTATTCTGAACTATATTAGGGCTAGTTCTTCAAAATCAGGCTATAAAATTAAACTTGCAAATCTCACTTCAGGTCACTACTGGGCGCAAATAATAGGATGGAGGCATCTAGTTGTCTGATTGCTCTCACAGATTAGGCAGGTATAGGTCTAAATCCTGTTGTTTGCACTTGCAAAGTTGTAGACGTAAATAATTGTGACCACAGATAGTTGCACGTGCAATTTTAGAGGATTGATTTAAAACTTGGCCCTTAATATTAAAGTGAAATTATATATGGGTAAATTACATAATTTATTATGTTATTTGCCATATTTGATTTGATTTTTAGCATTTGTTCCATCATTTTGGAAGGTACTTTTAGTGGCACTGTATTTAAGAACCATTTAGATTGACAAGCAATAAGCGTATCTTTCAACTATTAATTTGACAATTTAGTTAGGAATCATCTTTGGAATTATTGTTGAAGAGTTAAATTTTGCTTTCTAACCAAGTGATGTCCGTGATTTGGTCATTTTAAAGTAACTGGTATCACTTGTGTATATATATGATGTCATAATTACAATTCTGTTATCTAATCCCGTCTGACCTGAAACCCTGGCTCTTATTACCTACAATGGTTGCTACTACACAGCATTTGCTGCCTTCCACTTCCAAACTGAACGTTACCCTCATACATTGAAAGGTGACTATAATTCTCATTAATGTTAATATGAGTTATGTTTGTGTATTAAGTGTAGACCAAACCTACTGACTTTGGAGGAGGGGGTTATTGCCATAACACTTAAAAGCTTTGTCTTCAAATGAATCATTAATACATCCAAAAATGATTAGGTGAATTCTAGCGATCTACTACTACCAATTAAAAATCTACTACTTGTCTACAGATACAGATAGTGGCAAAAAAAAAAGGGGGACTATTATTCTTTCTCTATTTGTTTATTCCCCCAAAATAAAAATAGGTGTCATGGACTCATATGGTCTCATATCAATATGTTATCAACAACAGACAAGCCTATTCACTATTGTTGCAATTGAGTAAACAGTGGCGTAAGGGTCAGCCCTATTCACAGGTAATTGTTAGTGTGCAGACAGTCCTGTCAAGCATGTTAGCTAAAAATACATCCCACACTGTCACTTTGCAAGGTGTTTGAAAATAATCACCCAGATGCAGCAAAACAGGACATAGGCTTGTGTACTGACCTTTCTCTTTGTTTAATTTGCCTCAGAGGTTTATTTTCAGGGGACAAGTAATAATTGAATATGTCTAATAACTAAATGCTCATTTGGGACAAAATCCATCAAAATAAATTGGCATTTGATATTTATGAAAGAAAAATGACTTGGCTTTAGAGCGATAGATGTGTCCTAAGATTGTCTGATCACCGACTGTATAAATTGGAGCTTCTTTTATAATATATATTAATTGCAGATACTTAAGCATTTTAGCATTTTTTGCAGTGAACCGTTAGCAGAGACCAACTGTTTTTGTTAATGCTACTCTCAGAAAGGCGGGGAAGGTTATTGGTCTGTCGTGCAATAATTTACTCCTCTTTGATATGCAAACGATCCACGGTGAATATAAAAAAATCCTATCAGACTCATTTCACAGTTCTTAACCACTTAGATTCTCTGGAGTCTATCGCCTCATTAGACCAGTGCTCTCCAAAGCTAGCATAATTAAAATCTTTAACAGTTTAGCAAAGTAAAGATGTTTGGCTGATCACGTTGAGATGATTATCTATCCATTGTATTCTAAATGACAAAAATAAATTAAATTTAGACCTTGGCATTTTTTATTATGTGTTTCAAATGAATATAATGCATACTGCCTCCCCCTCCCAATACCGTAGGTTTGGTAGGATACATGCCTGTTTGAGCTGCTGCTGTGTATTCAGAAAATGGCAGATTTCCTTAGGATAGCTGCAGCGTTACAACACACTGAAACATGAAAACTGGACCAAATACCCAGGAAGTCCTATTCTAAAGCAGACTTTTTTTTTTTTGAAAACTTTCAGGATTTTATATGTTTTAGATAGATGTCTTTAAAAAGATGCTGTCACTTCTGCTTATTCTATTCTCCCATACCGTTCTGAAATAGCATTGAAATGTTCTGTGATGTGAGAATGTGAGGGATTAGATCATGCATTCTGAATAAAGATTATGTTTATAACATGATCAAAGTCCAGGTTGTATTGGGCCATGTTACTCCCTGATGTATCTCCAAAGATGAATTTTATCCCACTGGTGTTGTGTAAAGTTCTCTCACCTGGAATGCTGGTTGAACCTTGTAAATAAGGCTGGTGTCCATTTTGACGCTACTATGAAACAACATTTCTTGAAGCTTATTTTATGTTTTCATTTCACTTTTGAATGGCTCATTAGCATTGATCTAAGAAATGACAGTAATAATAGTGTTACTTGTATAGAAAGTTATACAGTTTTTCAATAGACACATCCATCAATTAAGTGAGCAGTACTAGAAACCAAAATTAATGAGAAAGATAGGTGTGTTAATGAAATAATCATAGTATAATCAATTTGACTGTTAAAATTTGAAAAGCATTCCAGGAAGACAATATGAATTCATAATTTATGTCTAAAAGTGATTAATAAAAACTGTATTTAATAATAAAGCTATTTGTCATCATTTAAAACTAAAGCACAAAATTAGTCATATTGTGGTTCATGTTGTCATAATAACACAGTAGAATAATTTTATTTGAAGATCTTCCTTGGTTCTAAAAATAGATTAGAACGTATTCAATTCTTTCTTTTTAAAAAATGCAACAAAACTTCTTCAGATGGCTGCAGAGTATAGCCTGGCCCCACTTTCTTGCAGTGATCTCACAGGCAAAACTCATTTGGAGCTCTGCCTCCAAAGGGACTTTGGGATTGGGCCCTCTGGTACAAAAATCATAGAAATACTAATTAACAGCACATATTTTCCCCCAGAAATCTTGCTTTAATAGGAACTGCATGTTGGGCGCTAATCAATTTAGCAGGAAACATGAAGTGTTACTTCTGTATTAGCCTTTAGTTTAAAAAAAAAAAACACAGAAAACTAACACTAGGCTTTGTTTACTGACTCTTTGATTTAATTACTGTTTTAAGAGGGCCGAATTAGCTGTTAATTGATTTAATTATCCAATTTGTTTGTTTCAGGCATGATTCCAACAGAACTGCAGCAGCTCTGGAAAGAAGTGACAAGCTCTCATACAGCAGAGGAAATAGCAAGCAACAACCACAGCAGTTTGGACCTGTCCACCACATGTGTCTCCTCTTCAGCACCTTCTAAGACCTCCTTAATAATAAACCCACATGCCTCAACTAACGGACAGCTATCGGTCCACACTCCTAAAAGGGAGAGGTAGGTGCTGATAGAATTTACATATATCTACGTGTAAATCAGTATCTGGTTACTGTGATATTGGTGACTCTAACGGGAGATTATTTACAATGGTGGCCGATAACCTGGCCCACATTTTGCCCTTGCTTTCTCCTGCCATTGATTGCAGTGAGTTTGCAGAAGATTTATGACGGGGCAGAATTTGGCCCTTTTGGTCTGGTCTATGCTGGGGGGGGTCGATGTAAGATACGCAAACTTCAGCTACGTGAATAGCTTAGCTGAAGTCGAAGTATCCTATTCGACTTACCCCGCTGTGAGGACGGCGGCAAATCGACCGCCGCAGCTCCCCCATCGATGCCACTTACTCCTCCTGACAAGGTGGAGTACGCGCGCCGATTCGGGGATTGATTTATCGTGTCTAGATGAGACGCGATAAATCGATCCCCGATAGATCGATTTCTACCCGCCGATCCGGGTGGGTAATGAAGATGTGCCCTTTGTTTGGGTCTGTATGGCTTGCTAATTGGATGAATGCTACACCAATGCATGCATGATTAGTTTATTAAAACTGTTTTGAATATGATCTGGGATGTGAAGATTATAATTGCTTTAACTTTTCCAACATGGCATTAGTATTACTGTTGATGTGCCCTAGGGATTTAAATCAGGGGTGAGGAAGAATTAGTTGGTCAGTACCACCCATTTTATCATACATCATCCACCTTGTTACCATGTTGTAGTTCCTTGTCTTACATTATGTTATATGGTTGCAGATCTTCTGTATTCACCCACTCCCACAAAACAGAACAGTTTTGAATTCTCCAGGTTGATAAGAAGTGCAATATTTCTTTTAAAGTACCTGTAAATTCAGATTACTCGCACAGGGTTGGTTTTTAAAAGTTTGAACTAATTTGTACTTGCCTGGGTGGTAGTTTGAAAGTGGTGGCTTAATTTGGGGGTTGTCTGTTGAAGATGCTTCTTAAGTATGGTTCCACTTGAGGTGAAGACTATTTCATTGAGGTTTTTTCCCCCCTGACATTTCTGCATCACTTCCATAAGATACTTCTAACGTTGTATTTTTAACTATTGATTACAGTGAAATATATGCTCCTAAGTAAAGGGCAGTTCTTGTTCTTGTTTGGAAAGCTACTGTAAGAGTTCAGGCTTAAGGTTTAGTCTGAACCCTGTGCGTGTGCGTACACACATGTGTCAAATCAAGATTCATATTCTATGAAACAGAGTTTCTGTGCTTGCAAAACAATACCAGACACTTACTAGCCAGAGACTGATATGAAAGATGTATCCCCCCTTTGTGAGGTCCTGCAACATGCTCTGATGAGAAGTGCAGTTCCTATCCCCAGTGACATGATGGACAGGTGTGTTTGGAATTCCAACCAGAGAGCCTGCTCTGTCTTTCATATCAACTCTCACCTCCTTTTAGCTGCTGGAAGGAGATCCTTCCCTCCGAAGCCCCTACTGTAGTCTTCATCCCTCTACCAGCCTGCCAACTGCTGGAGATAGGACATCTCTGCTACTCCGGGTCCTGTGGCACCTTTGAGACTAACAGAAGTACTGGGAGCATAAGCTTTCGTGGGTAAGAACCTCACTTCTTCAGATGCAAGAGAAGTGAGGTTCTTACC